TATAAGTTTCATTTCCACAAATTAATTGTCAGGCCTCTTATTACGGCGGAGACGCGCTCCTTCACGGTATTCGCGATTTGCGTAATTAATAATTTTCTATCGCGCGTTTCACAATAAGCATTTACCGTGTAACGCATATTTTGCAAAAAAAATAAAGCAATAAAGCCGTGTGCACGTAGATTTAAAGAATTAAAAAAACGGTAATCAAATATTCAATCTTATTCTACTCTTATACTCTTATACTTTTTTGGAAACTAAATTTTATTTAACTGAAATCTTTTATTAAAGTCAGCTCTTTCTGATCTAATTAAGTATAATAACAATAAAAATATTCTCAACTAAAGATTCCTGAGAAATATCATTATTACGTCGATACTAGTTAAAGAGATATTGCTTTTAGATTGGGGCAATGTATTAAATCTCGGACTGTACCGTACACAAAACTTTACTTCGAAATTTGTTTCGTTTATACGGCTCGTTTCTCTTTATATATTTTATGAAACTTTAACTTTTCTCTTTTTCTAAATGTAATAAAACTCAGGAGGTAAAATACAAGCATTCTCAAGCAACTTTAAATCCTTCGTGGAAAACAACTTTAAATGTTTTCCACTGTATAGTTACAAGTTAAAGCGTTAAAGCTAAGTAGACGTTTACCACATCAGCTATTTGCAGTTGTATAAATGAAGTATTAAAAACATATGAATCATTACTTAAACTGTTAATCTTTTGACGTTCTTTTCTCTCGGTGATATGTTATGTGAAGTTAATTTAAGAAATTTATCAACATTTATTGACATGCAAAGAGTCCATAGGAACTTTTACGATTTATTGTTTACATCTTAGAATTTTACTCTAAATAAACGTTTATGCGTCCTCGCAAATATTCTACGATAACATGAATGCAGCTCTCGATATAGCAGTCACGTGCATCCTGCAACAATAGTGAGAGGATGCTATTGTCCCGGATGCTAAGCAGACGTCGCAGTTTGACTACCCATGAAATCTTGACAAGCTTTCTGAAACGGGGTGTCGCATCTCACGCCTTGCAAGCATGAACGCTTAAAATGTTACACGCTGTCAAAACGTTCGACGCTAAAAAGGTGTAATTCCACGCATTCGTAAGATTTAAAAAGATACAATTCCAGTTCTGCTGAATATTCCCGACAAAAGTGATGCAAAACGAGTCAATTTTATAAATTTGAAACTAAATTAAATAAAACTTTAAACATAGAAGTTATACAATGTATTAAATATAATTTTTTCACAAATAAGCTCTCGAAATTTTTTAATATTCTATTTGTGAACTATTCTAATTGTTTATTGACCGTTGAGTGTTCATTATTAAATTTTATCTGCAATCCAAAGTTTTTTATTTAAAAAAAATTGATACTTTGAAATTACACGATTTTAGCTTCAAGCCGTTAAATTATCCTCATTCTTCATGCCAAGTTGAAAAATTATTGCGATATTTACTTTCGCGAATTTATCAGGCTTTCTGAAAAAACAGCTTGCACAATGTAGAACAGCACTGTAGAAGATTAAAGTTTAATTAGAACCATTTCACAAAGTTATAAAAGACAATCTCACTGTAAGCAAGAATTAATGTAATTAAATCTCTCATTTTCGAAAAAGAGTCTATTTTAAAAATTTCAAAAATATACTTTAGATTTGATGGAAGTAAATGGGGGGGGGGGGATCAGGAGAGAGAAGCATTGTTTCTTTAAAACATTGTTATTAATTTTCTACACAGTAGATCCACATCTCCAAACACAGTCTATACATTCGCGCTCTGTATCCGCGCGATACATGAAGATCTTGTTTCGTACACATACACACATATTCTTCCATCATGGCATAAAAATGCTATTTGCAACATTTTGCAAATATATCACGCATTAGGCTTTCATTATGGCGGATGCGTAGCAACGCAGGCAACTTGTAATTAAATTACCGCTATTAATGACGTAACTGTTGTTTAATAATTGAGAAAAAATAATTGATTAAATAAATAAATATACACGTCATAAATATTGGAGAAAAAATATAAAGTAAAAAGATAGTTTTGCTATCGATAATGATGAGTTTCATGTATATGCATGTATGTGTAATAATTAAATCATAGTTTTTTTTAAATACTGTGTATAGAGTTAAAAAAGTAAATGTATTTGTATATAGTTACCAACTGGCTCCGTTTCAGGTACGTCAAATATTGATTACACTCATTACTAAAAATTATATGCACTTTAAAAGTTAAAATGTGTAATAACATTGCCAATTATTAGAGTTGTTTCTGTAATTTAATAAATAATCGTTAATGTTATGAAATAAAAATATGAATAACAAGTTATTACGTTAAAATATACATATGTACAGAGGTCGAAATTTATGAGGAAACGTGCGAGTCTATTTTTTATCGTATTGATTTCCCTAATATCTAGCAATATTCGCCGCAAATTAGTCGTGTGCGACATTCTCGCAGCGAATTAGCCTCTTCGTTACGTATCACGATCCATGAAACCACACTGCAGTAAATATAGTTATGCAACCTGTAAATTTCATCGTATGCATGTGATCATGCATCCAAGATAACCACAGTCTCTCGCAAAATCGATCTTGTAACCAAACTAAAGATTATGGAAATTGCGCGCCCATAAAACAAATTTTCTCATTCACACTATTGTCATTAAAATACTACGTGTTTCTTTTTCACTGTAAATGTCTTTTTGTCTAAGGCCTATTTCAGACGATCCATAATTCGAGACATATATCAAATATGCATATAAATTTTCATATATTTAATATCTTGTTTTGCTTTTTTAATACTTGAAAATTTTTCTCCTCTTAATCCTTCCGCAAATTAAAAATCATCTGAAATCGGTTTTCCTTTTTCTCTCTGGCGATAAAACTGCTTCGCCAATGTGATCGCTGGCAAAACCGCTTTGACTCTAGAGACGTCTCGTAAACATCGATTTACAACGTTGCACAGTACGTTACATTAGGAGGACACTAGTCGCCTTTATAGCCGTAGCCTAACAGACACGTGATATACGAATAGATCGAGCTGGCGAACGATTTCGTAGCATTTCCGTACCCCGTAATTCGTTTTCCGTAAATATATACGTAAGGAAACGATTAAAAACCAAAATGTGTGGCAATGGTGATAAATAAGGAAAGAGCTAAAAGCTAAAATTTACATATCAACTTTTCTGAAACTTATTTTCATTGATATAAAAATACACTATATTTTACCTATTGTCAAAATTAAAATAAGATTTAGTTATTATTTCAAGTTAGAATAGTACAATTAGAATTAAATAAGCCTTATGATTTATAAAGTTTAAAAAGTATTGAAACGTTCAATGTATTAAAGTTATTGGAAACTGCTATTTATATAATTTGAATTTCAATTTTTACTAATTGCAATTTGTAATTGCAGTAAAAAGACATGTCCACGATATCGTCCGCGCTCGATCGTATTTACGTTAGTGATTGTTCTGCATTCTGAAATATGTATACATAACTATTTACGTATACCATCTTCTTTGATCTGCCAACCGATGATATAAAAGAGCTGATAAAAAAGGATTAAAAAATCAATTACACTTTCGTAAAGCCGATTGTTTCATCATCGCCACCTTTACCAATCTTTCTCAAATATGTTCTGTCTAATATAATAGACCGAAATGATCTCAGAAAGAGGGTTTTATTCCAAAAAAAAATATTACGCATATTTTATTTATATGTACGCTTCGATATAAATATCACGACTGAGAGGGCAGTAAAATATATTGTAGAATATCTTCTTGATTGATCGTTAATATACATTCGTATCATGAGATTAGACAGCATTTAATTGTATTATATTCTTTCATTATTAAGTTATTTATTATTAATTGTGTCAAATTGTGCCATTTTAACCATAAGAAATTATATTGGCAGTGTAAAATAATAACTTTTAATCGATACTCTTTTAAAAATAGGCGTGTTTCTTCTTTGAAAATATAAGGATTTTGATTAACAAAAAACCCTTTCTGAGATAAATCGATCTAGTATAATTTCGATGACGGTGTTACTTTCTAAGACTGTGCACAAGACTTCTAAAGAAATGT